AGAAGGAGGGGCTGAGCTCTCCGCCCTCGGCCAGAAGATCTCCCGGGCCGAGGAAGAGACAGGCATGGCATTGCCAAGAAGGTGCAGAGGAAGACGGGTCACTGCAGAAGGAGGGACTCGCAGACCAGGACCCATGTGTGGCCATGCCAGTGTGGGTGGGACAGCTGGGTGAGGGGCTCGGTCCAGAGGATGGTGATTGGCTGCGTCATGCTTAGGGAGACAAGGAAAGGGACAGGTCGGTCGGAGGCGTGTGCCCTGGTAGTCGGGGTGAGGACTCAGGTGGGACTCAGACCGGGAGGCTCTGGCCTCTAGGACATGGAGGTCTAATCCAGGGATCACTGACAGAACAACCCGTCGCTCCTGTGTTTGCCCTTTGATTGGAGGCAGTTATAACTGATTGACAGGCTCTGAGTTTCCTGCTGGATTTTAGCAGCTCAGAGGTCACGACAGAGTTAACCCAAGTTACCTGGTGGCACTTAAAATAAAAGGTAAACGTGCAAAAATGAAGCAAGGCTATCATTTAAAAGACATCTTAGTCTATTGTCCTTCCGTAATGTAGAAATGAATGACCTCTGCAGCCTTCCAAGTGTGCAAGTATTTGAAATACGGACACGTATAAACCAGCTGGTTCTGGGGTTTCTCCCTGAGGTCTCCCTGATAACGCCACAGTTGACCTTTCATCCCCAACAGCTTGCCGGCTGGTAGCTGGATAGAGACGAATGTGACCATGGATGTCAATGGATCCTCTGTCTACAACTTTAAATATCTAATCTTCTTAGATTCAAAATCACGGTTATATGAACTAAAATGGAAGTTCCCAAACATTTGGGTGAATGTCTAGAAATTTCCGTAGAGGTGGACAGGTGCCTGGGTATCTCCGAGCACCGAGATTATGGGTGTTTTCCACCTTCCTCCAGCACCGAGGCTAGGATTGTATGATCCCCTCCATCCTCTGGCTAATACCGTTTCTGGTGTAATTCTGTGTCATGAGCTCTTTGAGTATGGTGATGGTAATGATGATGGTGGTGATTAAGTCGTGCTGACAGCCAACAGATGGGCTGCAGTCGGAATGACTGAGCAGAGCTTCACAGAGGGGCGATTAGGATCGCAGGAGCAGAGTTACGGGTTAGCATGCACGGCCAAGCGCCCGGGACGAAGCTTTGCGGGGCCCGCCTCCCGCGGGCCTGAAGGAGCAGCACGGGAGCCTGGGCGGAATCTGTGGGTGCAGGAGGGGCCGCCCCCCCGAGCTAGGCTGCACCCACCCAGGCTGAGCCCCAGGAAGGAAGCTCGACAGTCGTGGTGTGCATGGGCTCCGGGGCCACCGGGCAGGGGAGAGGGTATCAGGGAGAGAGTCCAGCCCTGGAGCCTGCAGACCGCACGCTGTCATGGGTGAAGACCACTCCTGTGGCCCCGGCATGGCCGACCATCCAACCCCATCTTCATGAGGTGAGGCTAATTAATTCAGTCTCATGTCTGAAACCCAGGGACTACAACTGTCACTGACCACATGGGGTAACAGGAGCAAGGAAGGGAGAAGAAAATCCACGTAAAAACATGGCACTGCAGACCCCAGCCTTCTCCCCACAGGCCCTTGGGCTTTGGTTAGCCTCAACTGTGTGCTGAGTGGTACTCTGGGTGCCTGGGGAGCCCCCTGGGTTCCTGACACTCCCCCCCATCCCCATGAGACACCAGAAGCATAAATTCCCTTCAAGAATTGAGATAACGCCCCGGCTAGCACAGCCACCACCTTCTCTCCCCCTGGTTTCAGTGCCATGAGGAGTCGAAATGGCCAGGATCCCAGCTTCTATGAACCCAACCAAGACGGTGGGTTCTGCCCTGGGACAACACGGCCTGCAAACTCACCAAGCCTGGGGTGGTAGAGACGAGGTTCATTGAGTATAATAATGAGAGGCACCACTCCCACCTCCCGTTTTTGGGGACCAGAGTCAAGCACCGTGATTCCAGGGAGACAGCTGGTTTGAGGCCAACAGGTGACCCCCCTCCAGGACACCACCCAACCTCACAGAGCCTGGTCCCGTGGACAGCACTGTGCCTTCAGCAGGCCGTTGCAGCACTTTGCCAGTCAGCTGCTCTGGGCCACAGGGTTCATGGGAGTGCAGCGGATTTGGTGGGCATGACCTACTGTGGCAATGACTATCCCTTAAAATGAAGGTCTTGGTCAAGAAGACAGTACGTGGGGAGTTTTGTGGTACATAAGCCATTCTGTAACAGCTTGGACTGTGATGATGGGAAGGGAAGGAGAATCTGCCTCTGAGAGGCTCATTTTTGTGAGGATGAATTGTTCCCCATTAACAATGCGAGGATTTCATGGGATGAAAAGGGGTCTGTGTCAGACACTGAGCAAGAACCAGGTGGTGAGGGAGAGGCCACCTGACATTCCCAGGACTGCCCATTTGGTGACCTGGTTATCAGAGCTTCGTATGAAGTGCCTGGGCCGTGCAGACTCCCAGCTCTGGGCCTACCCGTGTTCCCCAACGTCTTCATTGCCCGTATCCCAATCTTATGGCTTCCAAACCCCCAACCAGTGGGCCACCGCAGCCCAGCCCACAAATCAGTGTAGATCCGTACCCCAGGCCCCCCACCTCTCCAAGGAAAGTTTACAGAACTGTCCTTCAGTATAGCCCACGCTCCCCCACAGAGATAGGGAAAGCAAAGTGGATTGAGTGATGGTACAAAGCCTGACATCTCTCGGGGTGCTGGGGTCCGGGCAGCCAGCGGGCCCCCTGGTCTGACATCTCTCGGGGTGCTGGGGCCTGGGCAGCCAGCGGGCCCCCTGGTCTGACATCTCTCGGGGTGCTGGGGCCTGGGCAGCCAGCGGGCCCCCTGGTCTGACATCTCTTGGGGTGCTGGGGCCCGGGCAGCCAGCGGGCCCCCTGGTCTGACATCTCTCGGGGTGCTGGGGCTCGGGCAGCCAGAGGGCCCCCTGGTCTGACATCTCTTGGGGTGCTGGGGCCTGGGCAGCCAGAGGGCCCCCTGGTCTGACATCTCTTGGGGTGCTGGGGCCCGGGCAGGCAGCGGGCCCCCTGGTCTGACATCTCTCGGGGTGCTGGGGCTCGGGCAGCCAGAGGGCCCCCTGGTCTGACATCTCTTGGGGTGCTGGGGCTCGGGCAGCCAGAGGGCCCCCTGGTCTGACATCTTTCGGGGTGCTGGGGCTCGGGCAGCCAGCGGGCCCCCTGGTCTGACATCTCTCGGGGTGCTGGGGCCCGGGCAGGCAGCGGGCCCCCTGGTCTGACATCTCTCGGGGTGCTGGGGCCCGGGCAGCCAACGGCCCCCCCGGCCTGACATCTCTCGGGGTGCTGGGGCCCGGGCAGCCAGCGGCCCCCCCGGCCTGACATCTCTCGGGGTGCTGGGGCCCGGGCAGCCAGCGGCAGCCGCCTGTGGCCTGACATCTCTCGGGGTGCTGGGGCCCGGGCCAGCCAGTGGCCCCCCGGCCTGACATCTCTCGGGGTGCTGGGGCCCGGGCAGCCAGCGGCCCCCCCGGCCTGACATCTCTCGGGGTGCTGGGGCCTGGGCAGGCAGCAGCCACCCTGGCCTGACATCTCTCGGGGTGCTGCTGGGCAGAGTGCATCCAGCGTGACACTGCCACATGAGAGACTTCCCCGGCACACTGGGGTGGGGGGTGGTCCCAGCTTTCCCGGAGCCATGGCTGCACCTTGTCCAGCGGGCTCCCCATCTCTGCACGGGCGGGGGGGTCTCCTCCGTAGGTGCCTTTCTGAGCCCTGGGGCTAAGAGCTGTTGCTCACAGGTTCTCTGCAGTATCTATACTCACTAGCCTCATTACTCCAATGCCCCATTATAACTAATAATTCTCTCCATTAAATTTCTCTGTTCTGGGCAACCCTCTCTTGTCCCCTCCCTCTTTGGGAGCTTTGTACTATCACTCAGTAAACTTTGCTTCACTGTCACTCAACAAACCCTGCTTTGCTGCCCACAAAAAAAAAAAAAAAAAAAATTGTTCAATTTACAAGGCAGTCTCTACTTCCAGACTGGAGCCTCATGGAGGGTCTGCCTCCTGGCGTCGGCCTCCTGCTCACGCCCTGGATGTCCAACCCCACAGGGTCCTGGCTGGACCTGAGCGAGGCCCCAGCTCCCAGAACCAAAACAGAAGCTAAGCTCACAACCCTGGTGCCAAGCCCAGGGCGTGCCCCAGAGAGAGAACCCGCCCTGGCCAATTACGTCCTAATATGTGTCGTGGAAGTGAACGCGGACCAGGCAGGCGGGTGAGAACTGGTATCAATGTGCATGGGGACAACTTCAGTCCCTCTGAAGAGATGCTCAGTAAACCACACGATAAATATGCAACGGTTTAGAGAACACGAGGAATTAGCTGGGGTATTACCAACATGGTGCCACCCAGACCTGGCAGGTTGAAAAGCAAAATTTTTGTTTGTACTTACTCAGCCTTTATGTGTACTCACAAACATTTTTATGAATCTTTCAAAACAGTGTCTTAGTTGACAATTTTGCTGCTGAGGACGGTGTCAGAAGTCTTCCCACAAAACCACACTGGTTTAAAATATTTATTAAGTGAAAAAAATTTAAAATTCTTTTCATACAAAGATGATGAGAAAAATCTCATGCAGACTCTGGGCATACAACGAAAATAACTCAAATATTAATATGATGATTTTGTACAAAATAATTCCATTTTAAGTCGGACCTCCGACAGTGCAGCCGCCGTCTCCAGGCCCGGCGCCCCTCGGGGATGAGGCGATCCCCCTCAGACTCCTGCAGGGGGTCCAGGGTCCACGTGTGGAAATGCTCACAGTTGTCACTATGATTGATGATGAATATCCTATTGCTACTACTCAGAACACGGGACCGAGACCTAACACATTCGCGTAAGGAGCTCAGAATCGAAGGAACGCACAAAAGTTTTCAGAAAAGTTTCAGATAATCGGCTCAACTCATGGAAACGCCGGGAGATGGTTATAGATGTTTCTGCTTGGTTACAAACCTGCAGTGGATTTATAATTTATAATTTATAATTTATATTACAAGTAATTTGCATAATTAAAATAATTAAGGGAGCGACCTATCATGGCAATTAGAAATGCATCAAACTCGGAACATCGTACAAAAGAGAGCTTCAATATGAAACAGTAATCCTCTGAGAACTGCGTGCAGTCCCCGCCCGGCGACCGCGCGGACACCCACACCCCCTCGCCGCGCCCCCTCCGCTCTGCTCCTGTCTTATTGCACTCCTTACACACTCATCTCATTTTCCGTAGCCTGAGTCTGTTCTCCTTGTCCCGTTTCTTAAGAATAAGGATGAATTGGTTGAAAAAATGCTCCTGGTCCTTCTTTTTTTGAACAAGTCGAAACCTCTGATCCCGGCCATACTTCTCCGCAAACTCCTTAAATGTGGTCCTGAAAAACAAGAGCTTTCCTGAGACCCCCCCTGCCCCGGGAGCGAGTTCGATGCTTCCTGAACACCACAGGCTGGCATCCCCTGAGGGGGCAGACAGCCCCTTCCACCAGACCTGGCTGTCGTTCCGCCACAGGGAGAGGACATGGGGCAGGACGTGGGGCAGGTGGGGACAGGGCTGGGGACAGGGGCGGGATGTGGGGCAGGCCGGGGACAGGGGCGGGTCGTGGGGCAGGTGGGGACAGGGGCGGGTCGTGGGGCAGGTAACAGACTGAAGGCCGTAGCTGTGGGCCTCTCACACCTGCCCCGCCTCCTCCTGTACTGACTTCACTTCCCAGGAAGGAGCGGCAGGATCCTGAGCCCACTGAACGCCCTTATGGCTGCATCTCACCCTCTGGAAGTGAGCCGGCTCTCCTGCCTCTTTGGCCTCCATCACCCGGAGCTGGCCACCGCTCACCTGCGCCCACCACTGCCCTGGCCACATGGGTCCCCTGTTGTCCCTGGCTCTCATGCTCTCCCTTGCTTCTGCACACACCGCCACTGGAAGTCAGCATGTCTTGTTCGGGGAACCTCGCCCTACAGAAAGGGTCCTTTACGGCCCTCGTCGTGGTCACCACCACGGTAAGCCCATTTACTACCCCCCTCCATTGGCAGCATTGCTATCCACTTCGTTCCCCACTGAAAGTCCCGAATGTCTGGCCCAGTGGCCGGCGTGTAGACGTCCCCCAATATCAACCGAATGGATCCAGGGCTGTGGGGCCAGGGAGTCCGATACAAGGTCAGGCGGCTCACAGGGCAAGCTGGGGACGTCCCTTACAGGGACAAAGCGCACCATGGCGAGCACTGGGTCCCCGGGTCCCCCTCCTCCCTGGCTTGAGCTTGTAGCAGGGACAGGCCCCGGAGGGCTAAGCGGCAGGCGGCACCCGGGCTTCCCGTGCTCGGCCCAGGGGACCCTCCAATTCCCCCATTTCTCTTCGCAGAGAACTTTATATTCCATGCGGACATTAAATTGTTGTATTGAATGGTTATAATGTACTAGCTTTTTTATACCCGAACAACAAGACTGCACGGACAGGGCTGTGAGGACCCGGATTCATCCCCTGTGGTCGCCAAGCTCCCTCTTCCTCCTCCAGTGTCACTGTCCCCCTGGTCACACGCTGGGGTCCTGCCTGCTCATGGGCTTCTCAGAAAGAAATCACTTCTCTCCTGTGCTCTCTTCCCTTCTTCCCTCTTTCCTCCTTGTTGTGGACGGAAGGCACTTGTCCCCCAGAATCATATATTGACCTCTCCTAACCCCCAGGTACTGGTATCAGGAGGTGGGGCCCTAGGGATGAGGGTGGTGCCCCCATGATGGGGATGACAGCCCTTGCAAAAAGGACCCCAGATCGCCCCCTACTCCTTCCCCATGGGGGACACAGAGGGAAGACAGCTGTCTAGGGGCCAGGATGGACCTCACCAGACCCCACACCACCAGAGCCCTGTTTTCGACTTCCAGCCTCCAGAACTATGAGAAAGAATTCTGTGTTGCTTAAGGCCCCTGGTTTGTATTTGTAATTTGTTACGCAGCCTAAATGAACTAAGACCCCTTTTCCTTTCTTCCTTCCAAGATGAGAATTACAGGGGCTTGTTACTTTCTTCACTTGTGTGGGTAGCAGCCTAAGCATTTTCCAGTTAGGGGCTGGCAGAGATCCTGTCTGCAAGGTCCTACTCTGGGCACTTCCAAAAAGAAGTGTCCCTGGAAAGAAAGGGAGAGTTACAAATCCGTGGCCCCACAGCCATGCCCAAGGGGACAGCCTGGTTTCTGTTGGCCCTTGTGAACTGTCCAGTGGGCCTGGGGAGGCCCCTGAGTCATGGGCACAGCATCCTCATCTTCCCTCTGGCAGCTGGGGACACAGCCCACCTGTATGTGAGGGAGGGGGCCTTCAAGAAGGATCACAGAGTGTAGATCCCATAGCCTGGCCATCAGCCCAAGGAGAGGTCGCTTGTGGCTCCTGGCCCCATCCCAAGACCCCGAGAGCTGGGCAGGCTGGGGGCTGGCTCTGGGGCTGGCTCTGTGGCTATGGGGACAGGGTCAGAGCTGCTGAGCTCTGAGAGGCTACCTCCAGGGACGCTCAGATGGCCTGTGCTTATTAGCTCACCTGGCCATCCAGGGTGCAGTGACTTGAACTGCACGATTCTACTAGGACGCCTAGGGGACAGTAGGAAGAGATGGTCAGGAAGTCAGAAAAAGTCTTGAAAATGTTGCAGAAGCAGCCATTTTGACATAAAAATAGCTTAATAATCATAAAAGGACATATGCACCGTAGTCACTCATTTTCCCTGTGTGTGTGTGTGTGTGTGTGTGATCTTTCTCCTAATTGCTCAATGCATTCTGAATATTTTCTCCTTTGTCTTCATAATGGGAGGGGAAATGTGTTGACTTATTGTTAATATTTCACCAATGGACAGACCAAGAATATTACCTAAATGTTGTTGAAGATGATGTTGGTGATGGTGATGCTGATGGTGGTGATGATGCTGATGGTGGTGATGGTGATGATGGTGATGATGGTGATGATGGTGATGATGGTGATGGTGATGATGGTGATGATGGTGATGATGGTGATGGTGGTGATGATGATGGTGAAGGTGATGGTGATTATGGTGATGGTGATGATGGTGATGGTGGTGATGATGCTGATGGTGATGATGGTGGTGATGATGCTGATGGTGGTGATGATGGTGATGGTGGTGTTGGTGATGGTGACGATGGGCATCCCCTTCACCAAGCTCCTTCCAGCTACCAGGCACTATGTTTGCTTCCCTGCCTGCTGCCCGCCCCAAGGAGCCTGCTGCAGCTGTCCTGCTGCAGATGAGGCCAGAAACTCAGACAGGTGCAATGCCTCACCCCACTGCAGGGCCTAGGAGGGGCTGAGCAGGCTGTGCCCTGAGGCAGGGGCTCCAGACCAACTCCTCTCTCCTAGGGTCACCATGTGGGAGACACAGAAAAGCCAGTGTTCTCACCTCTAACAGTAGAAAATCACAATTTACAAATGTTTAGATGCACATTTGCTTTTCTAGATTAGCATTTTGTGATGGGGATAATTCATGCTACATTTTCTCCCATTCAGAAAATATCTGCCTTTTAAATACTTGCAGTTTTATAAGGACCATGTACCCAACATCCAATTACTTACTGACCAGAAGAACTAAACAATTATCGATCAAAATATGGGAGCCTGGGGTCTGCATTGAAAGCAACATCAATTAACATCTACTTAAAAAATAATGTTGCATTTATGCATTAGTATTAAAATACTAATGCATAAATGTCCATTTAGACGTGATATCCCAACCCTCAAATAAAAATAAACCAAAATCATTTTTGCTCATAAAAGTTATAGTTCTACACTTCATCTAAAACTAATGATGTAATGTATGGGGATTAACATAAGAATAAAAAAAAATAAATTAAAAAAAAAGTTATAGTTCTATAACTCTAAAAGTAGTACATGTTCACTACTTTTTAAAATATCAGTCGATGAAAGCTAATTTTTAAGAACAGTTAAGTCCATGTGCTTTTCTAATTTCTGACGTCTAGTTTCCCACCAGTTTGCTTTATTTTGTGGGAGTAATGCCGGGTTATTTTAGGTGCATTTGGCAGCAAGTTTACTTGGCCCCTTTGCCCTGATGTGTGCACCTTCTGTCTACATCCCGGCCGACTGGGAAGGCGTCCGGAACCAATGGGGTTGGTGGGGTTTATGTTATGGCTGCTATCTGCTGTGTTCTGCATTTTAGTCTCTGATCCCTAGTTCTGAAGTTATACCTCCTCTCTGAGTGCTGACCTACTGATTAGTTATTAAGACCATGGAGTCGGGGCTGCCAGGCTGGAAAACCAGGCGGCAGGGCAGCAGAACAGAGAGACCGTGGCGCGGGTGGGGGGCGAAGGGCGTGGGTCGCTGCAGCCGTGGCGGGGCTGGAGGCTCACTCACCCACAACCCACTGGGGACGAGGCGGGCTTCCCTCCCCAGCGGGTCTCCGCTATTACACTTGTGCTGTCCAGGGCACGTGAGGGTACGCGGTTTAAGGGAAACAGACTGTAAAAGCCCTCCTGCGGTCACGGGCAGATGTCCAGCCCTGGAGATTGTGTCTGTCTCCATACCTGGGTGACACTTTAGATTCCTCCAGAAGTTTTTTGAATTCTTCTTTGGCTAGCAGCAGTTTGCTTTTCTTTTCCTTGTACTCTTCTTTTATCCTTGTCTTGACAAACTGTTCAAATATCTTAAAACACACACACAAGAGAAGTATTACAAGGTTGCACATCAGAAATGAAATCCTGGGTTTCAAACACCAACACAAAAGAACAGGGAGAGAATCTGTGGTTACGCCTCTCTATCCCGTAGTGGCTGGGGTTGAAGCCACAGCCTTTCAGTGAGGCACTCTCAGCACCATGAGACAAGGGGCTAGAAAAGTAAGCCTGGGTCCTCACGAGGCGCCGTCTCGGGGCCACACACCGACTGAGCCCTGCCTGTGGAGGCGAGGAACGGGCGGCGGCAACCCTCCCCGGAGGCTGTGGGAGCCGCTGACGGTCCAGGCTCCTGGCTCTGCTGCCCCTGTGGTTCTGGTTTGGGAACACCGTGAGCAGCTCATACACTGGCCGACCGTCACACCGCCGCTGGTAGTCCCAATAACACGTGAGATTGTGTAATTTCTTCTAGTCAGTTCCTACAGGACCGTAATTGGCATTTGGGTCTCCAGATGTGATTTCACCCTTGTGAAAACAAAGTTGACCTGGCATCTCTGGCTCCCCACCCTCTAATCCCCAAGAAGACCACCTGTGAGTGTGGGGCTCTGGTCATCAGGGGGCTCGTGCGGACACAGCAAGCCTGTCCTGGGGGGTCATGGAGCCTCCAGGTGAACACGCTTGACCCTCAGATACCACGCTAACCCCAGTCTGACAAGAAGTGGGTTTTGAAAGCTAACAGGAGAACCCCATGCCCTAGCCCAAAGGGTATGGGTATTGTCTGCCAGGCATCCGTGCATCCGTGACTCCAGGACTGTATCTCTTGCAAACTGGCAGCCAACGCAGTCCCATGACACCGGGGGACCTGTCTGCAGCGGTCCCCGGAAGGATCCTCCCTCGCCAGGACGGAGGCGGCTCACTGTTCTAGTATCAGAATGTCGGCATTTATAAACCAGAGCCTAAAGGAGGTGGAGACAGCTGTTTAATCAATAATGCTATCGGAGCCTCAAGAGCAGTAAAAAGAAAATACTGGAGATAATTTACGTGTGCGTGCAGACATAAATAAAAAGATCAATAAAAATTGCACATGTGATCGTGGAAGGCCAATAAACAGCACTTCTGTACCAACCCAGTCAATGGCTGTGGCAGGCATTAGAGTCCGACCCGAGGGCTCTGGGGTGGGGGTCTCCCGCACGCCTGCCCTGGTGCGGGAGGCGGGATGTGCCCCCACGGCCACTGCAGGAGGGCGCTCACCGGCTTTCAGTAACCACAAGCTTATAGGGTTGCAAATACCAAATGCCACTCTCCTCTGGACGCTCAGCCTCAGCAAGAAGCACCAGGAATAGGACTTAAACTGAAAGGACGTGCATATATGTTAAAGTAAGAATAGGATCCACACCTCCAAGGCAAGTGGTGTGAGTTGTCTTATAATTTAGACTCAAAAAAGGTGAAGGAAGTGTTATTATCCAAATAAAAGCATGTGGCTCCATCATCAGCCAGAGTTTTGCTCTATTAACTTGAAATCTGGCCACAAGAAACCCTGCCTGCCCGAGGGGTCAGAGGCTGCGGGGAGACCTGCTTCTCGGATGCCTGAACCACTCACCCAGCGAACCCGATTTCTCTGCTCATCTTTGCTCTGTTGTTCTATTTATGCTGCTCTAATTTAATGTGGCAGGGTTTCTTCCCTCTTTGACAAATTATGCGACTTTCATTCAAAGTGGGGCATGGCTTTTTAAAAGAGATACCATCTGCCATTACCTCCTTATGGCGTGATCTACCATAATAAAAAGGAAACACTATCTGTTACCGTGGAGATGGGTCTGATGAGCGCTGCCCGACCCCGACTCTGCTTGGGCTCAGTCACCTCCTTTGCAGCCCCCGGTGGTAGGACCGGGTTTTTGGATGGTCCAAATATTGCTTCCTTCAGCAGCACAGCTCCCATGAGCATGGGAACCACAACACTTCCCCTGGATTGCTGGTGGTTTGTCGCCCACACATAGGCATTCAATCGGAGGGCTCCTGGTGCTGCGTGCCTGGGCTCCCAGCAAGGCCACTCCCCGCTTTTCCTCACTGGGCCTCGGGGCAAGCTGCAGGCTGGTGACACAGGCCTGCAGTGTCCTCGGGGTGGCTTCCCGGGGTGTTTGAGGGAGTTCGTGGTGTGAGCTGACATTCCAGTCCGACCAGTCTGCAGAGTGCACGTGCAGGTGCGGGCCTGAGGTCCCAGCCCGGGCGGGCGGGCACCGGCTGCTGTGGCCGGAAGTACAGCTCGGCAGTTCCGCCCGCCCGGGTCAAGAGGAACCCGCTCAACACAACAGCCCCCTGAGCCCGGTGTATGCCGCGCACTCAGGGGCGGGACGTAAGCGTGAGATCATAAACGGGCCTGTTCTCTGAGGGTCGGGCGGGGAGCCTCACTTCCTCCTCTTCCTTTAAAGGGCTAATGGTCTCTCAAAACCCCCATGAACTGGAGAGGACAGTGCTGACTGCGACCGGTGGCGAAAGCAGTCTACAGATGTCCTGACGGTCCGCAGATGTTAGCAAGCACGCGGGTCTGCACCGCGGCGGGAAAACAAGCAAGCTTCTCCGTGTGGTCATAGTCGAGGAGTCAGACTTTCTGGTCTTTAATATTGCAACAAAAGGGTGAAATATGACCTATGATTAAAGCCTGCAGTTTTCTTTGGAGTCTATGTGTATAATCTAACCTCGTCTGACTCTGTAACCATTTTTTGCTTTGTTTTTTTTTTTTGGAGCCACTGCTAACACATTTCACACATTTTCAAATGTTTCTTTCTGGAAAATACAGCTCAGCTGGAATGCAGCAAAAGGATCATTAATTTTAAGTTCGTGAAAGATCCACGTTCTGTATTCTACTGTGGCCAATCTAGGACCATCCCAACCATGAGCCTGCACTGGGGGGAAGGGGGTTTTGCCATTGCCAGGACCGTCAGGGTCTGCAGGCCCGAGGCTCTGCCTGGATGGCCCTTCCCTGATCGTCCCAGCACGTGCTTGAAGGAACTTCATGCCACAACAGAATGCAACATTAAATAGCCCTTTCTGGCCCTGGCCCAGGCCTTCCCAGACTCTGCGGTGTGACCGTGCAGGCCGTGGTGACTGAGCCCACCGCTGAGATGACTCTCGGGCCTCCTCTGTTTTCAGTGGCCGTTCTTGATGACCCACTCTCCATGTGCATCACTTCGTACTCCAAGGGCAGAGGGAGGGAGAGGTGGGACTGGCACAGGAACCAGAGAGAAGGAAATCCGGATCTTCTGCAACCGATGTCAGGGCCCTTCTGTCCGGGCTCCAGGGACCACCCAGATCCCGGAGGGCTGTGCAAGCTTGCACCTCATGGCCTCAGCTCCTCCCGTGGCAGTCAGCACCACCCATCCTCTGTCTGCCTCATCTGGGAAGCAGTACTGGCTCCGTGACCTGCTTTGTCAACAAGCCCAGCCAGAGCCGTCAGGTGAAGCTGTCCTCTGACCCCTTCCTGCGCTTTCTGGGGACCCGCTTTCTAGAACTTCCATCTTATACATGTGCTCCTACCGTTCCCTGGGCCCTCTTCTCCTTCACTGTTATCATATAAGACCTTAAGTCTCCTGAACACACTCACCCGGGGTGTGGCCAGGGGCCCCAGCATATGCCTTCTCATGTCTGAATGGGAGGATCTGTCCTATGGGGTCACCACCAGATGGTTCGCTAGGAACAATTAGGGATAGCTTCCTCTGTCCCGGTCACAGGCGAGCGTGCACCCCGTCTGCAGCCTTCCCCCTGACAACAGGAACTTGACAGTCATCTGTGCATCAGCAAGCCCCTCGGGGGTGTGCCACGCTGGTGCTGTGTGTGCAGAGCCTGCCACCACGCCTCGCCCCCGCGTTACCTGTTTCCGCTCCTCAGAGTTCAGCAGGAGGTAGCGTGGATCAAACACGATTTTATGTAATTCTTTCTCCCAGGTAGAAAACGCTGACACCTGAAGAAAGATATTCAATAGAGTTGCTTTTAGCATCTGAGGCTGAGCCTGAACTCGTGCTGAAATGATCAGTGGTGGAAAACAGCGTTAAGGTACTGTGGGCTCAGTGACACGGCTTGTATGGAAGCCTTACGCACGTCCACCTCTCTAGGAAATCGATACTTAGAGCATTCGAAAATTTAATTTCTACACTCATGACACTATTTCTTCCTTGGATTTCTTCCAGGGCCATGTGCCTCTGATCTGAAGCCCCGGTTATGTCCGGGGAGCTGGAGCATTCTGGAATGTCACATCTTGAAAGCAGAAGTGTTTGTGAGAATTTTCAGAACACCGAGGGCCATGACAGGGGGCAACTTCTTGCCAATAGTCTGAGTTTAGCATAATTTTAGTTGATTTTTAAATCAGTATTTAAACCTTTTAGGTAGGTCATTTTTTTAAACACACGATTTTACTTTACAATAGTTTTAGATTTACAGAAAAGTTACAAGAATATTACAAGGTGACACGTCCTACCCAGTTTCCCATACTCTTAACACCTTACATTGGTATGTACGCTAGATTCGTCTACACTATTGTTAACCAAGGTCCACACTTCAGACTTCTTTAGTTTTAACCTAGGTTTGTTTTTCTTGCTAGGGTCCCACCCAGGACACCACATGACAGCATCACATCTCCTGAGGCCCCTCTGGGCTGTGACCGTTTCTAGACTTTCCCTGCTGTTTTGACCTTAATGGTTTTGAGGAGTGCTTGGCCAGGTGTGTTATAAGATGCCCCTCTACTGGACTGATCTCAGCTTCGCTCATGATTAGTCAGGGGTTCTGGGTTCTGGGGGAAGACGCCGCTCTACTGGACTGATCTCAGCTTTGCTCATGATTAG